TTTTTCTTCTTCTTCTTTTTTATTGTCGTTTGCAATTGGGCAAGTTCAATTGATTCAAATGCCACGAACACGTCTTTCATGTTTCTGGTCTCGATCATATTGAATGTCCAATTTTCCATAATTGGTCGTAATAAAAATGTTACGGCCAAAACATCGTGTACCGCGTATTTGATCATTTTCCTTTGATCCGTATACAATAATCTCGAACGATTGGACGTCAAACTTGCCGACCAATGACTTAATCGATAAGTTTTATCGAGATGTAATTTACATGCATACTTCAGTGCGTTCTGGAGTGACCATAGTTCATTGGGTTTGTATGGTGATGGTGAATGACAACGACAGAAAGAATCTTGATTGAGCTGTTGAATAGTTCTAGTTCCATCCTTGGTAATGTTGATTCGATACGACGGGCTCTGGACCCAGCACTGGGTCCGTGCCCCATTATACCATGTTGAGAAATGTGGTTGTATGTCGATTAACTTTGCTAGAAGTGGTCGACTAATTATCTTTGATTCCGGTTCGAGTTCTCTATGAATGTTTCCCCATCCGTAAATCTCATTGTCCAACCTAAAAAGCCATCGAACCAAGGCACAGACTTTTTCATATTTCGTTGAATGTTGGCTTGGTAAGTTGTTCAATTCAATTAACATCACTATCGATTTCGAGTCACCTGGCATTGAATTGATCTGAATTAACGATAATTCATTATTTGTCATTTCCGATTCCGTATCAATCGAATATTGTTTCACTCGCTTCGCATGGATTATCATTTCGTCAATAATCTCAGCCAGCGTATCTCTGTTCACAATTCGAAGTTCATGACTTGATGAAGAAATGTGAAATGATGGATAATGTTCATGAACATGCATTGATGTACGTTTCGAACCGGATAATGAATGAGTAGACTGAGATGATGGAGAAGGTGAGTGTGATGGTGGTCGATGAAATAATTCACAACGATGACGAGATGATTCACGATGATGGTGTGTTGATAAATGATGACGATGTGAGTCAGACATGATAATGTTCGAATGAATCAGGAATGGTTGATAACGATCGGAATCAGACGAAACGAGAATTGTTGAAGATAACGATTGAAATGATCTAGGCGAGAACAGGTGTGTATGCTTATGGAAAAATACAATACAAAGAAATAAACAGTCCGGAAAATGTCCAAATAAACATAAATAAACATTTCTGTCGGAATTCATCCATAGTTGGTAAACAAGAATTCGATTTAGTAAACAACATTCTGTTAATTCGATCGATCGTGCAGGATGATAAACAATTGGCTAATCTTTGATTGGTTAAAATTTTTGGTCAATGACCAGTGGTCATCATAATCGTAAACAAAATTCATCCATTGTGATCATAGATGTCATCGTGTGCCATGAACATTGAACGATAATTTTGATTGGTTTTCCATCGGAAACATCTCTCCTATAGAAGGAGAGTTCCCTTCGATAATTTATTTCTTCATTCTTGTCTTCTGCTTTATCTGGATATTTTTTTTTGATGTTACTATCGAAGCATAACTGACTAGTTCCGTTTATTTCACAACATATATAGAACCGGCAACAAAAGAAATGAGAAAGAAATAGTCGGAGAATAGATGTCATGATACCTCGTATCATAACATGAGAAAACGGAAAGGACGAAATTTTCTTGTCAAAATGAGAAATATTTCCATGGCAACGGGCATGAGCCTGAGAGAAATCGTTTATGTATATGATACAAATTCAATGAATGCCTTATTCATAACATGGTGTGGCTACGTTTCTTTCTGACGATTCTGGTTATTGTTCAGAAAATCGAAACTTTTGGAGAAAATCATACAGGAATTTGGGTCGTTAATTGTAAGCCTTTTCATACTTTTTTGGATTCAAATTGATATCGATTTTTCTTCTTAAGCATCTATACCAAATGTTGTATATCCTCTCACTATAGTTGGTAAGAGTCAGGGCAAAATGAGAGTTCATGTCTTACATCGACCAACTACCGTACCGAGTACATCAACGACGACGACGACATTATCATTGGACGTCATGATAGATAATTACATAAAAAAGTCAAGTAAAGCTAAGTTTGATGATTGGAATGAAAGAAAAAACAATAATAACGTCATACGTTTCACCATAATTTCGTTTTTTCTTCCTTTGTTTTCAATGTTATTATTGAAATTCCATTCTCATTAAACAATAAAAAAAGAGAGAAAGTCCCGTATTTTCTTTTATATTACGTTATAAATTGCCGTATGGATGCATTCATATAGAAAAAATGTAAATTATTTGGTAGCTGTTTCAAATGAAAACAACTCTTGATTATGTTTTATTGTAGCATGAGTTGACAGATGAAACATGATTAAAAAAAAGAAAACGCATTAAAACAACAGTAATAGAAAAAAAATCAATCAAGTAATGTACGAAATAACATTAAAACGATGAAAAAAAATCAACCCTACTAAGTCACTAAATCTAATAGTAATAAATGTGGAAATAGATGAATTGCGTAATACAATTTTCTTAAATCATTGATTTGTGCTTAACACAATATGGATTCAATTATAATTTGAATATATTTAATATTTATATGAAACAATTCGTTTGAGAATACAAAAGAATTATCATTAGTTTTTGAAACAATGGATGATGATAATAATAATAATGAAAAATTGAAACTGTAGGTATATTTTGTATTGTATTAAAGCAATTCAATGTTGTTGATTATCAGGAATTTGTCAATTCAAACATAGACTTCAATCCGGTTCATGCAAAAGGTAAAAATGGGATGTTAATTTCACAATTCATTTTCAGATACAACTATAACAACACAAAAAATTGATTATATCTACTATATATTAGATTAACAGACTCTGTACGAAAAACAAATTGAATAAAACGGTTGATATTCGTAAATGTCAAATAAAATTGTAAGTAATTTTAAACAGTGCTTTCCTGGTCTTCTTCGAAAAATTCTCCCGATGTTATGCTCGAATGATCTAATGACAAATCGAACGAGTTTCTCACGTAATCATATATTTTTCCTGGTGGAGAAAACGATAACGATTCAAGTGCTTTCTTTGAATTAAGAGGCTCGAGTTCAATAGTATGACTATTTATGTTTAACGAATGACTCATGAATTTATTAGAAGTAGTTTGATTTAAGAGAGGCTGACGTTGATAGATCATTTTTTTATCATGACGGACATTATCGTACAACGTGTTATTTTGTGCAACAGACATAACATCAACTTCCACATCAATTGGCGGATTATGATCGTGAAAAGTGTTTTCTTTACAACATATACGAATGAAACAATCGATCAATCTTTTGTAATGGAAGAAGCAAGGAATTTTCTTAAAAAAGACTAGATGCAAAAACGACAACTGAGAAAACAACGATAAGAATAAAAATACAAATGGCTATCAAAATTTTCGGCCATGTTTTTGTTTTAATCGTATGATGAATATTAGATTGGAATTTTAGGTGAGCATTTTCTATGTGTTTTTTTTTGTTCAAGTGCTGAATCGATTAAAGACGAAATATTCATGATCTCTTTTAAATTACTAATTTCGACTTCAACAGGATTCACTGATTTATCAAGTCTGTATATATGTTCATAACTAGCATTAAAAGTAAATATATAACTTTCACCTTTATTACAAACATCACCTAAAGATGGAAAATTAGTTGTACCACAAGAAATAAAACTATTACAACGTGTCTTAATAATGGCTACTTTCGTTATATTACTGAAAACGTTTAAATTTTTTTTTTATCGCCCTTTTCAAAACATTGCAATGGTGTGTGAACGCTAATTGCATGTATATTAGGCGCAAATTCGATGACTTGTGGTGAAGATAAATCAACTGTTTCTCTTAGACAGTCGTCAACAGATGTGTTGAATATAATTGATCTCAAACAAGGATGTCGAATCGCATTAAACACAGGTACTGGAATAGAACAAAACATATATTTCAATTGTTCATTCGTGGTGCATTTTCTATCCTTATGCTCAAACCATTCCGAAGAACTTCCATCATGAGCTAACGTTAAATATTGAGGAAGATTTGAAGTGTATACCACTTTCTTTTCATCGATAAACATAGGAATATGTGTTATTTTAAATAGATCTGCTTTTTTAGGCGAAGAATTTGATGGAGTGCCGAAGATATTTTCTATTCGCGCATGCCCAACGATTTTTGGCAGTATTGTGTCAAGGTCAATCGTTTCATTTCGAGCAGCAGTATCATGTGGCTCAGCTTCAACTACGAAATTAACATCCTCTTCTTTTAATTCATATACTATTTCACTCTCATTCACTTGATCAAACGATATTATTTGTTGCACTAAAAGGTTAGGCACAAACTGAGCTAATGAAACCGAAAAATTTAATGGTAAAGATTTTTCAATGCGACGCCATAGAATCTCGTGAATGAATGTTCTTTGTTCCGGAGAAAACATTTCGAGATTCAAATCATGATTCTTAACCCTCATAAAAGCCGACATAATTTGTTCATAATGCGTACGCATTTCACTTTTCAACGAAAACTTTGCCTAACCTGTAAAAGTTCTTTGCTTTCTTATTGACACTTTTAACAGATTATAAATGAAAGAGCGTGTTTCATTCACACTATCGAACAACTGTTTAAAACTTTTCAACATAACGAGATTATTGTCTTCTAACGCTAGAATTAATGTAACAAGCGCATCATTTAATTTTTCTTGATGGTTTTGAAAGTTCTCACCTTGATTTAACCGATCGATAATTTCATCATTCTTTCCTCCAAAAAGATCACCAATAATTTTATAAGCACCATACGCGGCAGCACTACCCAAAGCAATCTCTTCTAGTTGTCTTTTTTGTCGTTGTCCTACATGAGCCTCAGCCAATTCATTCAATCGACAGACACTGCCGTTCTCAAGAAGTCGAGTTCGATATTGTGTACAAACCTTCATAGCATAAGCTATTGAAACAGGAAAAACGTCGCACATAAACTGAAACACGGAAATTTCTAAGATGAAATTCACAGTATCTCCTGTTTGGGCGTAGGTGCCTAAATATTCCCAAACAGTATTAGTTTGCTTATGATGTACGAGAGTACTATTTTTAACGAGCTCTATAAAATTGCTTTCTAGAGAAAAAGTTCGATCGACACCAAACAATAAGACCAACGCGAGAAAAATTTTCGAGTAAATCATGATGATTAACTTCAAGAACAATATATCGACTTTGAAAATCAACCGTTTTATGTCAATAAGTAGATACGAACACTTCACACTTTTTCAATCTAAAGGTGTTAATAGCTATGAGAAACAGATATGAACACTTTGGGGGAAAAACGATAAAGTCAGATAGATCAAATTGTTGATCAATATTTTGAAAAATATCGATTAGAATTCACGAATTCTATTGTATTCTAAATATAGATAAAACTGAACCGTACCCGAACTTGACAAATTTTGAAATGGAACAATATAGTGGTTGTTGATGATAGTATGTAAGATAATAATTTAAAATTGATTTTATTCCAACGATAATGATTTTTTTAAATAAATAAATAAATGAATAAATGAATGAATGAATGAACGAGTGAGTGAGTGAATGAGTGAATAAACGAATGAATCATCTTTACACAAGAGAGACGAGAGGGAAAAGACGATGAATGATGTTGTATTCGTTTGACTGATTGGCCATAAAAAGATTACAAAAAAAAGATGTGTATTTACATATGGACATAGCTTGATGTGAATATTTTTCTCATATTTAGAGATGTGACAATATCTATACTTAATAAAACACAATATAATTATGATTGAATGCAGAAGAAGATACTTCTTTCTATTATTAAACGAGAGAAAGAGTTTGTTTCTTATCAAACAACACGATGAGCAAACAATAGAAACTATCGGATCAATCTATCATCCCAGAGTAATTTTGAAACCGATCCTTTCAATGAAAAAAACATGCATATTCGAACTCAACATGATAAATCACCTCCGTCCTTGTAGAGATCTTGAGAATATCTCTAACCATATGCAAAAAGAATTTCAACAATCCCCAATGGAGAAGTACAGCAACTGAGCGAAAAAATCACTCTCCTCACACGAAATTCAGGCATACATGTCTATTAATTTATCATCTAGGGAGAAAAAATTATATTGAATAAATGGAACGGTTCATTCAAAATGACAGTTAAGTTAAATAAAATATAAACGTAGATCTCGAACGAAATATAAATTTAAGTTTCAAAAAATATCTATTTGATAATTTTCAAGAGAGAAATATTGATAGATAGGTTAACTCATTTATCAATTGACCTGTTTTAAAGGGTCTGGTCGTTTAAATGGAAGAAATTTACATAGATTGATAGAGGACGAAAAGTTTAATATGTGAGAATACTTTTAAGGAAAATATTGGTGAAAATCTCCATAATAAAATTGATGAAAACTAATTCATTTAGACCTGATTTCTCTTTTCTTTTTCTCTTCAATAGACATGTACATGTTTGGCGTATGAAGTTGTTGATAAAAACACGTACACGTACAAAACGAGAAAAACAAATAAATGAATTGCCTATTTGGCAATGATAACTGAGTGAAATGAAGTCTAGATTTAAATCAAAATCGGAAATGAATATCTGTCTAATAATTTTAAAAATTCTTATTATCAGCTTTGTTTTTCTTACATTAGAATGTTCAATGTAAAGAGTTAGAGTTACATCTTTGATTGACACCTAATCCTTGTTCTAGGTGGAATTCTTTCTAAATTTAAGCAATACAAATATGTACTCCTAGTCAGATCGTTTTATGTTTCAATTTTGAGAAAATTCGGATAAAAAGATCAATTGATTTGTTTGTGCAATCGACTAGTTCAGAAAGGTTTCCATTTTCGAAATAGATGAATTGTATGGCATTCAATAAACAGTGGAAAAAGTGGGTATATGACAATATTTTAAAGAAAAGTTTCCAATTATTTGGAGAAAAAATTGAAGAAAAAATAAAATTCATGTTAATGATGAGAACAATTATGAGCAATTTTAAATCGTAAATTATATTCACCTTATCGGAAACATTTCCATTTCATCGAATTTTCTCTATATGTTTAAATTTGTTTTATTTGTTTTGAAAATAAAATTCTTGTAGAGGAATCATTTTAAAATATTCTGACAGAATTCTCACTCAAGCTTACTGTTTTTTCATCCAAGATCATTTTCAATTTATAAAGAATCCGATAGACAACTGAACGTAAACGTATTTATGATGCATACCTGTTTCGATAAAGAGAATCATATTGAAGAAGCAATCGGAGAAGAAAAAAGATTTTTCTTCTTATTTCATCAACATGCACATTTTATTTTAACTTTGAATGAATTTATTTAAATCTGTCTAAAATTATCAAGAGCTTGATTGAATATTTCAATAAGTTCACATGTAGAAAAAAAAACAAACGAAAAAGCATATAATTTATCGGAAAATATTTGAAAGGAGACAGCTATTTATGTTTATTTTCGTAGAAATCCAAAGATCAAGTTCATTAACATATCTATATTCTCATAATCAACAAATTAATAAAAGAATACTCTCATATTCATAGTTCGATGGATAATCCAACAATAGAAATCATCATTACTGAATTCGTGAATATAATTGATCTCATTTAGATAGCTATTCAAATATTTTCAGAGAATAACAGTTAATATTCAACTTTCTCTATTTAAACTTAATTTGATCTCATTAAACTTTCTTCGAAACATTAAAATCAAGCCCTTTGTTTCTTCTTTTACGGGTACAACTTCCGTGAACAATCCTATACATGAAATATGTACACGTTTATCAAAGTAAAAAGACGAAAACAAGAAAAATTAAATAAAATTCTTCTTCAACAATTCCGTTTCTTCCTCAATTTTTAAAAAATATTATCAAATATCCAGTTTCTTTTTTCCATGTGATCGGTGGTTGCACTATTTTCCATTATAATGCATTATAATGGAAAATAATGGTAGTAATTACATGATAATGCTGCATGGGATTGCTATCTATCGAATAATATAAGATTTGTCTATTTTTAACAATGGCAACCTTCGTAAAGTAATTATTTGAACAAGCAAAAAAATCGATTTTTTAATACGATGTTTTGAAAATTGAAACAATATGATTTGATAACGACAAGTTATATGTACTTCATAATGTTAGAAAATCAATTCACATCAGACAAAGGAAATTAAAAAAATCAATCTCCATCTATGTTTGTATTTATTGGTCAATTGTTATTTCATCGTTCTCGAAAAAAGCTTAATTTAATAACCAGATTTCTCTTTTACAGTTCTCAAGTAGATTTTTGTTCGAAATCCATCTTTGAAAAAGATGAGATGATAAAAAAAGGATTTGTTTTTTACAAAATAGGCAAGTTTGGATGGTACGATTATTGAATATCGTTCAGGTAATGTTCATCTGTTGAATAGATTGTAAAAACGATGAACGAAATGAAAGAGAAGAGAATGAACAGCGTATAGCTTGGACGGCTAATGAACATATATGATGCGAGACGAGTTCAAATTCTATGTGACGATAATTGCTTTTTCGCTCTGTTGATGTATTTTTCGATTGATAATAATTGGAATTTATTTTGAATTTCGAAATCTTTGTATTTTATTTTTTGTCTGTTAATTCTCGAACGGTACGAGTTATGATTAAATCAATTCAAAACAATCTCCAACAATATATTATACCCTTAAAGCTGAGCTATTTTATCGAAAAAAATAGTTCATGTCTACAACTTGAATACTAATCAACCTATGAAATAACTATCAAAGTGTTTTAGGAGCATCTTTCATCAACTTCCAAAACTAACATAATACATCTTTTTAAATGCTCGATTGTTGAAAGATGATAAATATTAATAAACGGTTTCAAATAAGTACAACTTAAAAAAAGAAAGCACAATGAACATAGAAAACTATTCGATCTACATATTTTTCTAGAAATTAAGAGTGATCCTCTTGGGAAACAAATAATTCAAACATACTATTTTCTGATTAAAAAAACGTTAGAAAAAAAAATTTGGAATAAGATATTCGATAAAAAATTGCTTGTATATGAAAAGAAATGATTGAAGAATTTAATTACGAACGAAATCAATCCTTACGTGTAGGTAAGAATTAAGTCTATGAATTGAAAAACGATTAATGAAGATAAAAAAAGCAAATTTCTATATTAATACCTAAAACCATTGCATATTAGTGGTTCAAGCTATTATATATTAAACTGTATTATCTATTGAATTAAATGTCTTTTCAATTTGTATCAATTATAGATCACTTTGGCAAGACATATATGGCAAGCAACAAAAGAACAAATGATGATTGAAGAAGATATTGCTTTGATAGAAAAACGTCTTTCATCAACATCATTACATGCTACATTTAATTTAGTTCATGACATGATCAATAATATTGATAAAGATATACAAAAATGGAATGAAATTATGAAATCAACTACAATTAGTCATTCTTTAACAGATGAAGTTAATAGATTAATTACTTTAAAGAATAATATTATTAATCATGCCATTAGTGCTAGTCACAGCAAAATTGAAAACTTGAGTACAATAATACAATCTAAGCAAAAGAAATTTTTATTAAAGAATATATATATGGAATCAACATCAGAATGGCAAAACATAGTATATGATGCTATAGAGAACCAACGATTGCATATGATTGAACGGGCAAATTATGTCAAACAGTATCGGCTAGCCACATAATTCAACATCGAGAATCGTTCGCAACAAACAATAGACTCTAATGAATTATTTGAAAACCAGAGGATAAACGCTTATTTCAAAATTTTCTTATTTCCTGTTTATTTATAATATTGCTCATATATGAATCGATTAGTCTGAAGTTTCTTCATCCCATATAATCATTTTTCTGTTGCTTATATAAAATAATAAGAAATTATCTGATTTCTTTTCTTTTCCTTCTAGATATTTTATAACTATCACTTAAACAACTGGAATCACGCATATCGATTGATTTACATTCAACCGGTTCATACTTGAATTTAATAAGCGGAAATATACCATATAATGCGTCTGAAAGAAAACATTTAGAATGTACGTCTTTAGTTACTTGTTTTCGATGATTTTTATGCTTTACTCGAATACTTAGAATGTCATTTCTAAATAGGTGTATTACTGGATACTTTCACATCTTTGATATATATATTGAATCAGTCTTTCACACAATGAACAATGACAAAAATCAATCAAGTACAGACAACTCAACAAACACAAGCATGTAGAGTCAATCACTTTCTTTCTCTTTCTCTTTCTTCGGTGATATTTCCTTTACCTTTTCTTACACAAAATTTTCATGTATGCACTCATTCTAGACAAACAGGGAATTTCTCGAAAAGAATAATAGCACGTAGCAAGAACATACTTTCATACGCCTCCTCAAGACATTCTTCATTCATTTTTTCACATATTCAAATGCTATTAAAGGAAACAAACAATCTACGTCTTTGCATAAAATACCAATTTTGAAGCATTCTATCACGTAAAACAGGAGATAAAATTCTTGCCCACACAATAAATCCCACAGTAGAGGCCAAACTTCCCTTATCCAACTCATCCTATAAATACGAAGCACTTTTCCATTATAACATTCATTTCTTAGATTATACAGCAGTAAATATCACTCATCTTTTTAGAACCATAATAGTATCTGATTTCATCCATTCTAACGATACAATATACATAAGTCACTTTAATCTTCAATGTAATACAGGCTATCTACATATCACAACCAATGAATCAAACAAAACCCCAAATTAGAAAGTCTATTTACACAATATTCATCTAAACTGCGTGTCTCACCACCATCAAATCCAAACCGAGACATTCAGAGCTGAACATGATTATTTATTAACTATTATGACATATATATGATCGGTCAGAGCTGTTCCACAAATTGGTAGGATAAAAATTTCCCAATTCACTCTGCAATAGACTAAGTCTTTCGTAATCATATTTAAGACTAAGCCATCTGATGAGATCCTTAAAAAACGGTCGAAATGCGTCATGGCAGCTTGACTCACACCCTCCTCGTTTTCTGGACTAACTGTGTCTTCTTCATAATCTTTAGACTGATGGTGACTCTGATTCTGATCTTTAACTTGAGAATGATTCATCTTTATGTCATGTATTTTGTTGTTAGCAATAAATCTGACTAACAGGTTGT